GTGGTGAGGCTGCGGCGCCCACGAAATCGTGTCCCGTCCCACGCGACCGAGAAGTGGAAAAGGGGCGTCGCCGTGAATGTGTTAACACACCGAACCTAGTAGAAGTAGTAAAGTGCCTTAATTATCAGTCAAAGGTGATTTTTACATTGACAAGGAATACATACGTGGAAACATGGAGACAACCTTAGTTGAGACCGCCAGCTTCACCACACTATCTGCAAAACTTGCGCCGTTCTCAGACTTGAACCCTTCATGATGGGACGCAACGCTGCGATTTTGCCAGTGAATAGATATCACTCGATCACACTACATTTGGAAGTGACGCTGACAACAGGTAAGCAACGCATGTTGTTCGCGATCTTAGGCTTCACGCGGTGCATATAGGCTGCCAGCTAATAATCGCTTCCCAGTCGCTTATATCGCTATTTTTGAATATTTATGATAATAACGAATGAAACAGGGGCCCACAGGTATTCATAAACGACAGGACTTACCAAATTGTTACATATGCTGTTTTAGGAAAGCTTTTCTGAGCGAACAATAATAAAATTTGTATTAATTTCTCTTTTTTTATTGCCACAAACATATGAGTGAAAAGAGTGCTGGATGTAAAAGCAAAGCGCTATAAATGGAAAGACTAGTGGGTAAGTTAAAACAACCGACTGCGAGGAAGGTGGACGAACATGTTGCCTTTATTCCTACTGCTCGTGGCTTTCACCTAAACCTTTAGGCAATCTTTACGCATTGAACGCTGCAAAAATTATTATATTATATTCACATCAGGTCGGTACCCCGTCTACCACCGGGACCTTCTTTCCCTACGTACGCCTTACGCCTGAGAATGACATGTCAATTTTTGTCGCACCCTAGGTCTGTTGCTGATTGGTTTTCCGCTTACCCTCCCCAAACACCCCTCTCCTCCTCCCTGCCCTCTACTCCAGCTGCCACTGCAGCACCATGTGGAATGACGGAAGTGTGCTCAGTAGGTGTTTATTCAGCTGTTAGGGTGTTATCACAATCATGCCATTGCAAAACATTGAGCTCAAGTCCTGCGGGCTGCTCAGATTTGAGGGGCCTTCCTTATCACTGACTGTTTACTCCATCAGCTTCCTTATCACTGACTTCATTTTGCAGACATACATGCCGGACATACATACGCACATACATATCTACATACACACATACATTCAAACTGACACACCAAGTTAGCGGTTTATAAAATAGAAGGATTTTGGTTTATTTACAACAAGGTTTGCTCCGCCCGCTATCGCGCGCATCACAGGGTAGGGAGGAACCACGGAATAGCAGCATGACGTACTCCATTAACCACCTCACTATGAAATGTGTTATACCTCCTTATACCCCTTCTCTCCGGCGCATGGCAGCGCCATGTTCTCTCTCCTTCTCCTCTCCCCTTCCCTCCCTCTTTCTCTCCCCCCCTCCCTCCCTTCCAGCCTCCCCTTTCTTGCCCCCTTCCCCTCCCCCTCCCCCCCCGCTCATCCGGCTGCCACGGCAGCACCATGTAGAATGAGACTGAGTGAGTGCGATCAGACCCTGCACCCAATAGAGGCTCAGACTTCCATGGCGTCGATGGTTTCTCGGCCCTCGATGCCCCGTGCTCGATCGCCATCGCTATGTGGGTTTATCATGATCATGACATCAACATCACAAAGTGTTGCCCTTCGTACTCTATGGTTTTGTGAACGGTCGGTCTGGGACAGCACACAACGACACACATTCACACACACATAGCCGATTACATATAGTAGGATTCCTATTCGCTTGTACGTGCCTTGCAGGTCTCACCGCAGCTGTCAGCATTGTGGGCAACGTCTCCAACATGAGCACTTACTGATTTGACCTCCGGCGGTGTTTTGAGCTCTCCGTTTAGTATAGGACAAACATAAGTAAAAACAAACTGTGTCAGTAAATTGACACTTTTACGGCATGATGTTAACTGGAAACGGCCAGTTTCGTCAAAAAATTACTACGAGCCTTCGAATGTGCTTTTCCCGCTTTAGCAATGTTGCAAGCGTTCTCGATCGAACACCTTGTTATGCTGCCGCTCCATTAGTTGCTTATGCTCTGTGGCGCTATCGCAGAACACGGGGCGTGGTGCTGGCGATGTATTTGAAATCACATTAAATATAATATCTCCTAATTCTAGAAAACGCGGCTAAATCTTCAGTGAGGGAGGAGAAACTTTACGACGCGTGAGCATTTTTCATTTTGGTCGATGTTCCTGCCCCTCTTCGGCTTACTTCCAGAGAATGCCTCGTATGTTGCGATCCGCTTCGTAGGAAACTGGAAAGTGATAAGCCCAAGATCACAGGAACCCGTGCTTAATGGTGTGGCCGCTTGTTTCCATTCAAAAAGTGGGGAAGGGTTATAAGAGCGCGACAGTTGTGTAGCTGTAAGGAAATAAAGGCTCTCAATGGCCCCTCGATAGTTGGAACTCGATGGGTGGCAAATGTACCGACCGTCAAGTCCAACTGAATGATAGCACTGCACTCGACTGTTTATGTACGACCCCCACAATCAGTAAGGATATGAAGTCATTGTTTGTTATTTGATAGACTGCAGTAGGGAAAGAATGAACACTTACTTGTCTGTGCGTGCTCTCGACCGGTTATGTTGGATTCGATGAAGGCACTATTTCTTCTGATGCTCGCGGTTTGCTAGACTCTACAAGGAGACGATTAGAGAATGGTACTGTCCGGACTCTGCCCCGTACTCTGAAGATCCGTCGGTAAGCCTTCGGTAGCAGGTCCTCCTCGGATACTTGATTTTGTCATTTCATCATTTAAGGCAAAGATTAACCATGGCTACTGCTTTCGTCTGCGAATTAAATACACTCAAGAAAGAAATGAGTATTACGATAGATATGAGACTATATATGGAGACTGCTTTATTTCTTCTGGCAGCAAACATTCATCAGAATCTCAGGTGAGTGAACGGAACAGCCCCGTCTTCATGACAACGAATCAGAATCGCTTTGACATTTCGTGGATACGAAGCGTATTCAGGGCAAGTGCAGGCGTGCTGTGGAATGAGCAAAGAAGTAATATGGCAGGCGAAGATCTACAGCACTGCTTCTGTCATTTCGGGAAGGTACCTGAGTGCATCAAGGCTATACATGTGAGTAAAAACAGATTTGCTATGAACTGGTGTAACTGAAGAAAGGATGGGAGCATCTCCACCTCGCTTCTAACATAGGAATTGCTGGAAGGGATGCGAAGTTGCCGTATGATTAAGTGTGTGTCTTACCACAGGGTGGATGCAGTAGGGTGGTATCACTATCACAGCACTTATTTATAGCGTTTTCTGCTCTGGTAGCGGTTAGCGGTCGATTACTACTGGCTTGCTTGGCGCAAATCGCAAGGGTAACCCTTACTCTCGTTTATAACAAAAAGGAGTTCTTTGTTTCAGATCAGGGTCAAGCGTGCGTTGAGGAATCCTCGACACGTCACAGGGGGGGGGTCGTATTGGCCCGCTGGGAGGAAGAGATCGGGCCGGATTGATGCAGTAGGATCATCACCGTCGGAGGACAAACATCAAGGATCGAGTCGATGCCAGAGGATTTCCAATAACAATTGATTCCGCCCACACAAAATCTTTCGTGATTCAGAGGTGTCCGCTTAGCAATTCTTAGTTACTTCAGTGTTTTATCACCACACAAGTTAAAGAATCCGAAATTCGCACGTTTTCCAAGGGATATTTTATCTTTCAAGTGAGTCCTCGAATCTGAAGGGATGTGAAGCACACGGCGCATCCCAGAGTGGGCCCAGTTGGTTGCGCGCGCTTCAACTACGGCTCTCTGGAGAAAGAATCTCAATTCAGGAAAAATCAAGAGGATTCTGAAAGGGTTCATGTGAAATTACAGGGAGGAGTACACTATTCAACAAGAAACGCAGCCTTCAGCGTCAAATTCACAAGCATGTAACCTTTAAAGTTGAGATACGCTAAACAATTTTACACTTCTTGGAAAGAGAAAAGCACGAGGATTCCGAATCTGCTCCTACTTTAGTATATAATCGCCCTGAAAGGAGCTATAGTCGTTGAAATAGTGCCAATGTAGCGAAAAAGTACCTTTCGGCGGTACTCGGGCAAAAATCCTCAACGTGGCCATTTTTTAATACTGGACGTATTAAGCAGCTTCTAGTTGTTTGATAGAGCAAATCTTCTAGTTTATGACGTATCAACTTACATGAGTTTG